TTGTTAAAATATTTACTGAGCCCCTACTGAGTAATTGTCCCACAGAACAGGGTACTGAGTGATGAACAAGGTTAATTTTGCTACAGTTTTTCAAAGAACTGACAATCTTATAGAAAAAAGTAAGTTTAAAAATAACAGTTTTGCAAAGTAGACCATGATACATGTCAGAAGGAAGTTATAGAATGTCCGAAAAAGGGAGATATCTTACTTGATGGGGGACCCACGGAAACTTCACGGTGGAGTTGCAGGTGAGTTGGGCCTTATGGGGTCATTAAGGGACAAGAAGGATGTGGACAGCTAAGGAGGACAGGACGAGTATTCCAGGTTGAGGGGATGGTATGAACAAGGACATCAAGGGAGATAGGCATGGGATTTATTTAGTTAGTGTACTGGATCAGAGGTTCACAGCTCTGACTGCATAATAAAATCACCTGGACTCAAAAAATAACAAACAAACAAACAAAAAGAACCCCAGGCCATCCCTCAGCCCAATTAAATCCAATTCTCTGCAGATGAGGCTTGGGCAATCAGGTCTTCAAAGAGCTCCCCAGGATTCTGATGTGCAGCCAGGAGCAAGAACCATGGAAAACAGTATGGAGCCTCTTCAAAAAATAAAAACCAGCCCTAACTGGTTTGGCTCAGTGGGTAGAGCGTCAACCTACGGACCAAAGGGTCCCAAGTTCAATTCCTGTCAAGGGCACATGCCCAGGTTGCGGGCTTGATCCCCAGTGGGGAGCGTGCAGGAGGTGGCCAATCAATGATTCTCTCTTATCATGGATGTTTCTCTCTCTCCCTCTTCCATCCTCTCTGAAATTAATTAAAAAATATTTTTAAAAAATTAAAATAAAATAAAATAAAAACCAGAACTACCATGTGATCTAGCAATCCTACTTCTGGGTATACATCCAAAGGAAATAACTATCATGGAGAGATATGTGCACCATCCCCCATGCTCATCGCAGCATAATTCAACAGTAGCCAAGACATAGAAATAACCTGTCCGCCGATGGATGAATGGATAAAGAAATTGTGATATATATAAAATGGAATATTACTCAGCTATGAAAAAGAAAATCATGCCGAAACCGGTTTGACTCAGTGGATAGAGCGTTGGCCTGCGGACTGGGGGGGTCCCAGGTTCGATTCCGGTCAAGGGCATGTACCTGGGTTGCGGGCACAT